CAAAGTTTCCTGTAAGGGGTAGGTTTAGGGGTAGGGTTGGTGTAGGGCAGTAGCACATACAGTTTGTACAGTATAAAAACCATTACGCCTATGGAATGTCCCCATAACGTGATGAATACACAACATGCGTGTGTGTGTGTGTGTGTGTGTGTGTGTGTGTGTGTGATCTGCGACAAATTGATCTGCGTTGCAAAACAGTGTTCACTCAATAAAAAAGTACAAACAATAAAACTACTGGTCAGCCTATATGAGGTTTTAATGGCTGATGCAGATATGATATCCAAAGCCACCCTCAGCTGATGGCTGATATATTACAAGCACTTTAATTTAAATGACAGAAAATCACAGTTTTCACACAAATATTAAGCAGCAGAACCATTTTCAACATTGATAATAATAAGAAATATTTCTCAATCAGCAAATCATATTAAAATTATTTCTGAAGACTGGAGTAATGATGCTGAAAATTCGCAATATTTTACAACATTAATATTTTTACTGTATTTTTGATCAAAATGCAGCTTTGGTGCATAAGAAACTTTTTTTTAAAACATTTTTAAAAATCACACCAACCCCAAACTTTGAATGTCTAAAAGTAAAACATCTAAAAATGTATACAACTGCTAAATTTAGTCAACTCACTAAATATTATTTAAATTAAATTAAATATTAATTTAAGATTAAATATTAATCTCAAAATGGTCAAATACGAAATGATTCATCAGTCTGCATTGGTCACTAAAATTCACTAAACTAACTCTAAATCACTAAAACTGACTAAAACAAAATACAAAATGTTAGATATAAATTAAACATTGTTTTTAGATGTTTACCAAATAATTTGAGGGGGCAATTTTTGTTTTTAAACAATTTTTGTTTTTAAACAATTACTATTTTTTAAAAAGTCATATAAATAAAAAATGACTTGATGGTGTTATTTGTAATGCATGGGTGCACAATTATAATTACACACCAGTTTTACAAAATAAATATCAAAAGCATAAGTAATACATTTCATGTAGTATTTTAAGAAAATATCTAGGTTATTCTGAAGGCTGTTCTCTGTGTACTTCTTCAAATTGTCATGCACTCTACTCTATTGCCAGTTCTTTCACAGTGATTTCTTACAATAAAACACAAAATTCTAACTTTTACTGTAAAATCAACATAATTTTCTGTCAGAGGACAACAAATTACTTTACAAATGATCAGATCACACTGCACTGTGGAATTCGAAAAAGGCTCAAATGGCCATAGTGAAAAACCCATAAACTCTCGTGTGATGTCACCATCATGAAAAAAATGCAAAAAAGCGTAATGGTTGAAGTCTGATTACAACTTGCAATGTGCACTACAGTTTATGTGGCAATATAGCATGTTAGCAAATGAGTTTCAAAATATTGTCAGCTAAACAATGCTGCAACATCACAGAAATAACCCGGCCTGCTCATTATGATATCACAGTGCAATTTGTTTAAATATGAACTATACAGGTGCATCTCAATAAATTAGAATGTCGTGGAAAAGTTCATTTATTTCAGTAATTCAACTCAAATTGTGAAACTCGTGTATTAAATAAATTCAATGCACACAGACTGAAGTAGTTTAAGTCTTTGGAATGTAATTGTAGAGCCAATACTGCAAAAATGACTAAAAGTACAGCAGCCAGTAGCCAAGAAAATTACAGTGTAGAGAATCTGATCCGATTGATTGCATTCAGGTGAGCGATAACTAACTTCACGAAAACAATGTTTGACATTTATCATACCCAACCAGTGGATGACATCAGTGTCAACATCAAGCTGATCCGACATACTGGCAAAACCCAGAAGTCCATCTTTAAAATCCTGTTCCAGAGCTGCCTGGTGAATGATGTCAGTCAGATATCAGCCTGAGGAGAGACAGACAGAGATGCGTTCAACCACAGATCATCATGCAAGAGCTGCTGCTGCTGTGGCAATGATGCTCAATTTTTTACGTCTGATGAGACTGTTGATTTTAAATTGAAAGTGTCAGGCAGTGGTGCTCCTGATTGACTTAATTACACTATCTAGTCTGGTATGAGGTTTCTGGCAGTGAAAAAAAGCCTCTTTCTCAGGTACTCCCCATTCATAATGCAACAGCAGTAGGAATGCAGTGTAATAGGTTTCTGTGAATCGTTTCTGTGCAGCAGTGCATGTCATATATATACCAATATTCACATGACACTGCTTTTATTTGATCAGATTAGTGCATTATGAGATGCTGCAAAGAGATAGAGCAACTGACCAAATGCACATACAGGTTATGTCAGACAAATCAAAGTTGCTTTATAAATGACTCGTATTATAAAACATCTGAAAATAAAAACCGACAGATCTGCTGTTATTACTCGTCTTATTCAGTGCAAAGGTACGCAAAGACGTGCATTTATACGATCAGCTCTTACCTTTGCTGCAAAGTAACTCATAGATTCACATTTTAATCCATTAAACGCGGCGCCGCACCAGTAATCAATAACCACCGCGCGAGCCTCGGTGATGTTGATTTGAATGGCGTGCGTCCGTCACGCAGCGGTCAGTCGGATGATAGAAAGGCTGAATGCAGCGCGAATGACTGCGAGTTTCTCCGATATCCTCAGCGCAGGGCTGCGTACTGAACACTGAGCTGACAGAAGTTAGTGCTGAGCTGATAGTCCGCTAGGCGTCCCACACCGGACGCGACGCGACTTGATCACGCGTCGCGTTTAACATGCACCCCCCTTTTGTATAAAGTATACCAACCCACTGTTGTTTAAATAATTATAGCCTACATTTATAACATTTAAAACATAACCTGATAACATGCCCCTAAAGCTAATGAGAAGTAGCCTTGTTAAAATATAAAAAATATATATGTTCAAGATCCACTACTAGTCTACAAAAATAAATAAATAAAATGCAAATCACTAAAACACTTGTTGATATAGGCCTATACGTGTGTGTGTGTGTGTGTGTGTGTGTGTGTGTGTATGTATAATATTCTTTTTTTTTATTTTTTTAAG